TGCACTTAAATTAGATATAATTTTATACATATTTAACCTGAACTATGCATTTCATACTAAAATATGCAGTTTTATATGCATATAGCATGTTTTTTGAACTGAGGACTGAAAATATAATGTGTGAAATCCAAGCTAACTGTGTTTCAATCAGCAAAGCAGTCCAGGAAATAGGATTCAGGTCAATTTACTTTAAAATGTGCAAAATGTTTGGGCTGTCCTTATTTCACACACTGGCCTACCCAATGCCTCTAAGAACCACACAGACAGGACCTGAAGGCAACAGCTCTCTCAAGTCATTGCTTCTCAGCAACTAGTCCCAAGAGAGGTATTTACTCCTGAGCTGTTTGGAAGTAGCACTGGATTGATTTCTCCATGAATCCAAGTTAGTGAATTCTCCATATCTTATGGCTGTGAACGCAATAAATTAATTAGAACAGGTCCTACAGACCATCCAGTCATTATGGGAAAGGACTACAGTTCAGTAACAGAGTGTTGCCTTGCACAGAGTTTGTGAAGTTTCAGGTAGCGAGACTTAGAAAAAGCGACGTCTCTACATGAAACCCTGCACAGTTCTTGCTGCTGTTCCTAGCAGCCAAGCTGGGCTTGACAGGCAGCTTCATAGAATCACACAAGTCACTGCGATCGCTCCAGTGCCCATTTTGATTCTAGAGGAATAGTAACAACTCAGAAGCCAAGAGCTCTTGTTACTGTTTTTTTCCTCTTAGGGGAATAAATGAGATGGTGGACCAGCCTTCCCCAATCTGGTACCCTCCAGATGTACTGGGTAACATTTCCCATAAGCATGGGAGTTGTGATCCAACACATCTGGTGAACATAAAGTTTGGAAAGGATATGTTAGACGTGAGGAAGTGCCATCACTGGACTTCTCCTTCCTACTTTCTCTGAGAATGTCTACCATTTTCCATTACCCTGTTGCATTTTTGCATAGCCCTTTGCACCTCACGTCATGCCGGCAGGGCCTGGGCAACACACAGCGCCGTGTTATTGTATCACATCCTGCTCCCAACACGGGCACCGTTCAGTGGAAAAACAAACTGCAAATTTATCCATCTAACAAAAAGGATGCTTGACAGTGAAGAGAGCAAAGGGTCATCACCCAGGAGGAGACAGTATGCTTTGCATGTAAAAGATTCCAAGTTCAATTGGTAGCATGGTCAGTTGCCCTTTTAAGACTACCAGAGAGGTGCCAATAGTCAGTGCCCTAGCTAGAGAGACTGCAGGTGGCTTCCTACATTCACAGTGATGGGTAGGTAACGCTCTCTACCATTTGCAATGTTCATTTCCACCTGGAGCCCTCAAGAGAGTCCTCTCTCTTGCAAAGAGAGAGCAATGCCTGCCGATGCAAAGTCCAGTGCTAAAATAAAAAGGAAGGGATCGGAAGGGAGGAAAAATGACCCCATCTTCATGGGCCTTTCTGTCCCCTCTGCATTAACTAGAAAACAATCCTCGTGGCCCCTAATGGAGAAAAAACAAAGGGAATGTCATGGGGTAACTCAATGGATGCTGGGGGGATGCGGAGGATACATCAAAGGCACCCAGAATGGTTCAAAGCTCTAACTTTAATTGTCAATTAAGCATGCATAACCAGGAGGTGGGGGCAGAGCGCAACAATACCATGACAACCACAAGACTCCATGCTGGCGCATTATTGTAGTGGCAGGCCGGGAAATACTGAAAACAGCTGATTTTGCTGACAATGTGTTCGCAGGGCATCTTGTAAGCAATCAGGCCCCAACAGATCAGGCCCCAACAGAAGGGCAAGCCCCCCACTCCGTCACCGGCATTATGTGAGACATTCCACTGCAAGGGTCACACCCTGGTCAGAGGAGAGGCGGTAAAGATAGCCGCTGGAGGGCACGTTCTGATTTTTAGTAGGTGCTTTACATACTCTCTGAGTGCCTTATTCACCCAGGGCAGCTGTGTTGGCCAGGCACCCTCTTTTACAGAAAGCAGTCCTCTGTCTGGAGGGCTGACCTGTCCAATTCCAGTCTAAAGTTTCAGAAACATAAGCACCATGGCCTCTCCACCATTAGCACCTCGGCAGGTGAGACAACTGACTGGCAACCACAGGGATTGTGGTCTTCTGCCCTATAGCGGAATGGACTGCATTTCTACTTAAAGTTTAATAATTATTAAATTATTATAAATTTCCCAATTCAAACCACTGTCGTCTTTGGTCCTTTTTATATGAGGATGGACTTCCTCTCTTTTGGTGACATGCAAGAGCTACCCTAAAGGCAATCTCTTATCTTTTCCCCCATATTTTGTTTTGATGCCTGACCCTTTTGAAGATATCCGATCTGAAATGGGTGTGATGTGCCATGGCAGCATATCACACTTTTCACAATTCAACACCCCTCCCCAGTGCCTTGAGAAGTTAAAACTTGGGAGTTGGAACATGGGAAGCTTCCTCGTTCCAAACAATTGCATTTTGGAACTAGTGCACATGACTTAAAAGTAAACGTGCATGAGCAGGAAATTCATGTGACATCTTACATGCCCTTACTTGGAAGTAAATCTCACTGAACACAAAGGAACTTTTGGAATAGATCTGTACAGAGTTAGATTGAAAAGCACCAAAGAGTCACACAAGGAGAAGATGCTGATTTAAGTCTGAACTGGAGCAGCATATTAGTAAACAGTTATGATATTTTCTGCCAATAGATTTTAACTAGGAGAATGAATGGCATCATTTAATTGCCAAAGGACCAAGTAAACGGTTACTACTTAAAGGAGATGGAGTAGAACTTTCAACAACACAAGATTTAGAGTGTGGGTGGTACCCAGTTACTGATTCTTGCCCCAAACCTTTGCAGAGCCGTATGTTACTCACAACCTGCACTTTCCCCAAACCTGCTGCTCTCCAGATGTGTTGGACTAGAAGGAACAGATGGGCCTTGTTGTCTATCCACATCTGGAGGGCCTCTTTGCTGACTCAGCTGCAGTTAATTCAGCATCTCCCAAAGCATCCTGGAAACTGTAGTTCAGCAAGAAGAATGGAAAGGTCCTAGCCAAATCTGGTCCGGGGTTACACGGAGGTTGGTTGCCACTCTGGGCTGCAACAAGAGGCGTTCCAGAGAGATGGCTTGGCTTGCGAGGCCTGGTTAGTAGCTAAGGGGTTAATAGCTCAGTGGCGGAGGACATGTTTCACACAAAGCAGGGCACGGGTTCGATCCCCAGCATCTCCAGAGGGGGCTCCATAGAATCCTGCCTAAAATGGCAGAGAGCCCCTACTGCAAGTCAGTGTCATCAGTACTGGGCTAGGTGGACCAAGGGCCTGGCTCAGTCCAAGCCTGCTTCTGAGGTTGCCGTATAGAGAAACAGTGTACAGAAGTGTTTGAGGGTGCGGGACTGGGACTCAGGCGATCTGGGTTCGAGTCCCCGCTCAGCTATGGAGCCCACTGGGTGACTCTGGGCCAGTCACAGACGCTCAGCCCAGCCTACCTCACAGGGTTGTTGTTGTGGGGATAAGATTGAAGGCAGGCGGAGGAGAATGTGTAAGCCACTTTGAATTCTTTGTAAGAAAAAAGGCAGCATTTAAATCTAATAGATAAAAACAAATTGATCAACCCTATAGTCAGAACTATGAGGACTAGAAACTTATGTTATTTTGAGGGGAAAGTGGTGGCAGAGCACCACTTTACATCCTAGATTCAATTTGTGGTGCCTTCAGGTAGGACTGGAAAAAAACTATTGCTGCCAGTCAGTGTTGGCAATACTAGCCAGATGGACCGAGGGTCTAATTCAGAATAAGCAGCCTCCTATGTTCATGTGATTCATGAGGCTGCTCCGCATTTGCATTCAGCAAGGAAGCAGCAGCTGTACAGGTGACATACACTAACTCCTAAAGGGGAATTTCCAGAGGTTGCAAGATGACATAGGATTGCATGGGGGGGATCCCTCCACCCACTCCTTTTAAGAAGGGGAGGGAGCGGAGAAAGGGAGGGTGCTGCATTGTTCCAGCAACCAGCAGTGAGACCCAAAAGAAAAGGGCTGCTGACCCCACACTGACCCCAGGCGACCCTAGCCCTTGTCAGGGAGCCGATTTCTGATGTTTGCCTCTTGAGTTCACTGACTTTGGTGTGTAGATTACAGGTACCAGAACAATGGGAATTGTTTTCCACAACAATGCTCCTTGCTCCATGACACTCTGCTCAAGATAGCTTCCCCCCTACCCCCAGATTAAGCTCTGAGCTCATCTAGCCTTGCTTCTTTTCAGTGTCTCCAAGCTGAAAGCTGAATCCTGCTTTTTCTTCCCCCTCCTGAAACATACTGTTTTGGCTTTGCAACCATCCTCTGCATGTCCAAAGGATTAGGAGATGAGGGGGAGGGGGGGGGAAATGGCCACAAGCACACCCAGGGACAGGTCATGAAAGCAGTTCCAAGTGGTTATTCAAAGAGAGAGAGAGGGAGGAGGAGGAGGAGGAGGAATCCTAAGAGAATCAAGATCCTGTTCTGTCTTGACTTGGCTGTATTTTAAACATGTGACCCTCTGCACTGATACAGTGTATTTTCTTTAGTTTAATAAAAGTGTTTGAATTTTCTGGTCCTTCACTGGATCCCTTTCGGGGTTAGAGAGAAATGGTTAGATTAGATTTATTTGAGTAAGCAGATCATCCAAAGTCCAGTGCAGTAAATACCAGCCTGCAACACACAGTACAAAATGTAACAGCACCAGAAAAATGGTCAACGAAGAGAGCACCGCAATCGGAGTGCATCATACAACAGCTAATTAAGTCTTTCTGCACAATGGAGATTTCCACTTGCAGCGACAGCATCACTTCTCCTAATGGGGGATTCAGGTAGCGAGAGCTGCAGCCATTGTAACTGATGCACAAGGAAACTTTGGGAAAACTCCAAGGTTTGAGGCAGCACCAGGAAACTTTTCTGGGAGTGTTGGGGGAGCCCATGGTGGGAACCCCCAACAAGGCTCCACAAGGACTGAAAGACGGACCAGAGAGATTCAAGCCTTGGCTTACCTGGCATCTTGCTTGGCGGGGAAGAGCTGGGCTGGACATGGTGAGGAGAGTTGTGGGAGAGCAGCAGGCTCATGCTGTGAGGTTGTCCTGAGCTGTAGGCGTCCATGGCCAACTTCTGGCGAAACGCTTCCTCTTTTCTCCGGTTTGCAAACCAGTTGTAGACGCGGACCTCCGTGACCAAATTCGAACCCAGGCCATGTGCTTTGGAGGGGGACACCCCTCGCTGCAGGCATTCTGCCCTGTGGGAGGAAAATCAAAGAGGACACGTTGGGTAGGGCTTTCATAAATGAAATGCTGGAACCACCATGGCAGAAGGTCCAAGTCCAGTGCTGCAAACTTGGTCGTATCATGGAAGGCACTGGCGATGAAGCCCTTCTGCTCCATTTTGCTTATTTCCAATTGGGCTACTTTTCTTTAAAGGCAATTCAAAGAACACAAACAATAAGCCAGATTTTGAGATCTTCAGCTCACTGCACCAAAGCAGCACGGTACAAACAGAGGGGCTACTGAACTGGGGGCAGTTAAAGGCTGGCCAGATTTTTCAGTCACGAGATTGGCACAGTCAAGAGTCATTGTTGTCGTCTTGTTGTTGTTGTTATTCTTATTATTATCATTATTATTATTATTATTATTATTTTAAAACTTTTGTATGCCCTCCCTTATGCATAGCATCTCAGGACAGCTCACAGTCCTTAAAATCAAAATACAATAAAACCATCACACCTATAAACAAACATAGTAACAATAAAAATTTAAATCAAAATCAAAGCGACTGTTAAAACATTAAAATACTAATTTTTAAAAATAAAAAGGTTTTGAGCTGGCGCCGAAAAAAATATAAACTCGGCGCCAGGTGCACCTCTCCGGGGAGCACATGCCACAAAGTTTCAAGTAAAATACCGCTCTAGGATCCTTTGCTTTTTTGGGTTGTGATGCAGCACAGAAAAGGAACGCCAGCAGAACTGTTTTGACATATTCCAGAGGGGAAGCGTGGTTCCCCCCACCTGAGCCCCTTGTTACTTCAAAGCCAACCAAGTCCCTCTGGCACCTTAAACGGATTCTAGCCAAAGTTTTTGTGGGCAGAGGCAGAAAACTCACTGCCAACTGCATTAAATCAGCTCCCCCTCACCTGGCTTAGTTTCCCTAAATGGAGGCAAGGTAAGAGCCGCCTGTGGTTGGAAGGGGGGAGGGGAGGCTTTTTATCAGTAGTTCCAAGGCTGCTGGATAACCTCCACCACAAAGTGTGTACTCTTCCTTCTTCGCTGGCTTCCAGGGGTGGAAGTCCCAGCCTTTTTCCTTTCCTTTCCCCCACAACCCCTTTGAAGCGGCTGACTAGTCTGTTAGCCTTCTTTCTGGACTGCTTTCAGATGCTTAATCTTCCAGTTTGTCTTTAGATTGTGTTTGGGTTTATTTATACCAGCTTTGCAAGTCTGCTTTGGGGCCTGGGAGATGGTGGTGTAGAAACACTTTACAAAATAAAATAAATTCGAATCGGAGTGAGGAAGGGAAGTAAACTAAGGCGAGTCCTGGAGTCCCAGCTATGCAAAAGGTAGGAGCGAGAGTAAGTATCTGTACCCTAGGCAGATTTGGCAAGGACTTGTAGGCAAACCATGTTACTGCTATTCAGGAACACAAGAGAAACCTCATCTCCATTGATGGCTGCTTGAAGAAGCAGCTTGCAAATACAGGAGAGGTCGTACAAAGAAGCGTCTTCTGAACACACTGCTGATGCTCTGCTGAGATAATGTCCTGAGCAAAAGGGATGTGGGGAAAGAGATGGAGAAATAAGGAGGCAATTTGTCCTGAAACACAAAGAACCTTTTAAAATTTGTGTAAAGACATGCTTTGGGAGCAGGGGTCTTATTTTGTGCTCTTTCTTTGCAGCTCTACTGCTTCTAGGGCTGTTTGATCCTGAGAGACATTTCTCACCTTCTTTCAGAAGGTGAGAACCTAACAGGACCATCCCATGAGGCCCATAGGTGAGAGATTCAGGAAAGATAAACAGACGGAACTTCTCTTTACAGCACATCACTTGCTGTGGAATTCACTGCTACAAGCTGGAGCGATGGCCACTCATTTTGACGGCCCTACAGGGGGACTGGACTAATCCCTGGAGGGGAAGAAAGATGCCAATGGCTACTGGTCTTGATGGTGATATGCCTCCTCCAATATCAGAGAGGGGATGCCTATGCACACCCGCTGCTGGGGAACATGGGCACTTGTATCCACATCCTGCTTGCAGGTTTCCCACGGCCATGACTGGTTGCCGACTGTGGGGCAGACGGCTGGACGTTCAGGCCAAAGATCAGACGAATCTCCTGCTCTGATCCAGTGGGGCTCCTCTTTTCCCCGTGTTTTCCTGTCCTGCGATTTCGTAACAACGCAGCGTGAGCTTTGTTCGTAAGCGGTTCTGATTCATTTAAAGACAGACGTGTGGAGCACAGCCTTTCGAGATGCACAAAACGGGTTGGGCGTGAGAGCTGCCAGGGACCAGGCCAAGGAATCTTGGCTCCTCTGGCCCCAGGAATGTTGCCTTTCTAACTTCAGATCCAGAATTCCTATCACTCAGGTGCCCTGCAAGAGCCAATAACTGCTGGGCACTGCTAGCCCCAGCTTTTTGAGGGCCCGTGGGCAAAACACCATCCATGGGCCCCCTCCCTTGGCGAGTCCATCTTCTCACTGCCATGGTCACCAGCTGCTCTTGCTCCTCATCTGCTTCCTCTTCAGTACTATCACTTTTTTTTAACTCAGCTATTTATTACGTTTTTATACTGCCCAATATATATTTTGCCATGGGGCTCTTTGGGCAGTTTACAGAATAAGAAAAAAAAAATAAAACAGGAATAAAACCAGTGCAAACAATAAAGTTGGTTAAAACCAAATATGAACCATGGACAACTCACGAGAATAGACTAATGAAACAGTTCACATAAAAACAATATAAAATGTCCGTCCATCTGTCTATTAAAATGTCTAGCAAATAAGGAGGTCTTTACTTGACACATGAAAGCATGCAACGACTGCATCAAGAGCACCTCCTTGGGAAGTATGTTGCAAAGGGGGGGTGCAACCATGGAGAAGGCCCCTCTCCTAACCATCGCCCCCCCTTGCCCCTTTATGGGGCAGTTCTCAGAGAAGGACCTCAACAGACGATCTTAAGGACCGAGTGGAGACATAATGAGAGAGGTGCTCCTTCAGCTACCCTGGCTTGCTCGCTCGCTCGCTCGCTTGACAGCCAGAGAGCCAGTGAGCGAAGAGGCTGCGGCTTCAGCTGCTCCTCTTCTTCGGCCATTGTTCAAGCCAGAACGAGAGGCAGGTGAACAAGCAGGTTCCAAAGGTGAAGAGGAGTTGCACCTCCAAGGGACTTTTGGCAGCAGATTCCCACTCGGCGCCCATGTCACTGGCCCTGCTAACACAGTGAATTTGCATGTCTCTTTCAAGGGCTTCAAACCACCCGAAGCTTAAAAACCTCCATGATGTTTAGCCACCAGCATACCTGGCGAAGGCCATGAGAAGTGCCAGATGGCGGCCGGCGCTTAGCTCAGCAGCAGGGTTTGGTCTCACTTTGTCCAGGCTCAATCCTGCCACTGGGTGATTTTTCCACTGTTGTTGACTTAAGCGGAGTGTTAGGAATAGCAGGTTCTTTTCCCTTTGACACAGAACGTGCCAGACACCTCACACAATGGGGGTTTGGTTCAAATGCAACAAAGGCTTCATGCTTTGCCAACAAGCTGTTGACAAACGAGATGCAAGAGAGAAAGATGAACATGTCTTTTGCTTCCATCTGGTTTCAGGGAGAGAGAGAGAGGGGGAGAGAGAGAGAAAGAGTGTGTGTGTGTGTGTGTTTGTGTAGGGAGGGAGGGAGGGTGGAGGGAAAGTTACCTGTTGCACTCTTCTACCAGGGTCTCCCTCTCTTCCTTGCTGGGGTTCTTTTGCCGGTCATAGGCCTGGTACAAAATCTGCTGAGAAGCAGGGCCCCACTTGAAGCGATTGCGCCTCATCTTCTTGCTGGGCGTTTCAGCGCAGGGGTCATCGAGCTGGCCCACGCCCTGGCTTTGCTGGTTGAACTCTGGAAAGAGAAACAGCAGCTGATCTTGACTGCTTTTGTCTGTCATATTTCCAGAACCCTGGACTGTCTGGTTGAATTCTGAAAGAGAAAGGAGCAGAGCAGATTTTGATCGGCTTATAGCCGCGGCCAAAAAGTAACACCTTCATGCACAGATTCAGTTGACTTGCTGAAGCCGGCCGGCCTGAGTTTACCTGGAAGCCACTTTCCTCGGAGGCAGCCAGGACAAATGAGTTCACGGCCAGAGTATCACAGAGGCACACTAGGCAGCCACCCGGGGTGCCAAAAATCAGGAAGAGGTTGCCTGTTAATTGGCAGCTAGGAAGGATGACAAGCAACCCTTCTGGGGGTTTGATGCGGGGCATGCGCTCACCTGTATAGGGCCTGCAAGCTACTAAGGACCCACTGAATTTTTGAGACTGCTTCACAGGGCAGTACAACCTGTGACGTGCCTGCAAAGCAGTGGGTGGGGAAGGAATCCTTCTCTGATGGAGAAGCAACTGAAGGGTAAGGGACAGACTCTTTCCACTCAGTCTGTCAGTTTCCAGAAGAGCGGGATGTCTTTTCCTTCCCATATCCTGTTAAGGTGGGTCCAGTACCAAAGAAGAAAGTGCCCCTGCACCTTTAATAGTTGCATGACAAGCTACTCCTGCTGAAATCCAATCATTTAAGGTACAGGAGCCCTGTCCTCTTTTGCATCTGACTATGTCTAGTTTTAGTCTCTTGGCAATGTCTGCTCTTGGCACCCAGTTGGGAGAAAAGTGGCTGCAGCAAAGTATCTGAGGGAACATGTGACAGGTGAGCAAAGCGTTTAGC